AAAATTTTTTTTTTAATATAAAATTTTAGATTAAATTATAAATTAAATTAGTTTTTTTAGATTAAATTATATTGTTACACAGGCTTATAAGCCACAACAAGCCACAGCAAGCCTGGGGGATGTGACAAATAAGCTGTATAAGCTGGCTCATTTAGAAACACTAAATTCTTCTTTAAATAAAAGCCTTTCTTTGTATTGGAACTTGTAATAATCAAAGTGGTTAGTTGTGTCATCATCTGTAGGGCTTATTAAATAATTGATGATATTTTGAGCTAAAGGATCTATTACAATCCATTCTTGAATGCGATCTCTTAAAGATGTATCAATCAGAATCACAAGCATGGCACATAAATGAAAATTTTTAGCTTTCAATAGTGTAGTGTGTTGTTGAGTTACCATTTTATCACAATATAAAGGCTGGTAATCTACTCTTCGTGATAGAATATTAGACTTTTCTTGTTTCTTTTCTAACTGAAATACAATTTTAAAATTATAGTTAGAAAGGAAGAGAGACCACCGGGCTTGTTGATGGCTAAAGTTTTTGGCAATAGCAAAATACTTTAAATTTTTATGGTTGCAATATATAGTAATTTCGTGCTGGGCTCTTTCCAGATAATGTCACTAACATTTAAGTGCTATTATTATAACTAATAATTCTTTATCATAAACATTGTAGTTAATTTCTGCCAGTGTAAGTTTTTGGGAGTGGTAGGCAATAGGGTGAAGGATTCCTCCAACTTGGTACTGGGATAATATTGCACTGAGAGTATAGTCTGAAGCATCTGTCTCCAGATAATAAGGTTTTATTGAGTTAGCCTGAACTAGAATTGGGGCAGAAGTAAAAGCCTTTTTTAGAAAATCGAATGCTTGTTGAGCTGAGGAAAGCCAATAAAATTTTGTTAGCTTTTCCCTAATTTCCAAATTAAATTGGTCAAAGGGGTCACTAGTTGGGCATAACCCTTAATAAAATGCTGACAATAGTTGGCAAAACCCAGAAAATGTTATACTTCTCAAATTGATGTTGAAACAGGCCAAGTGAAGAGGCTTTCGACCTTGTTTGAGTTCATCAAGATTTCTTGGTGAGTGATATAGTAGCCTAAAAAGTCAATGTTTTCTTGATCAAACTTACATTTTTTTAGCTTTGCAAATAATCCATGCTTATGCAAGCATTCTAATACCAGTTGTACATATTGGTCATGCTCTTCTGAACTAGATGAATATATTAGAACATCATCAAGATAAATTATAACAAATATATCTAGAAAATTCTGAAAGATATTGTTCATAAAGTGCTGGAATACCGCTGGGGCATTAGTGAGTAGTGTTCCTCACAGGTTAAATTAGGCGAGTATTAGTAGAAAACTGAACTGAAACCGAAAAATCAGTTCGAGTCTAGAACTAACCTGAATCCAACTATAACTAACCCGAACCAATCCAGAACCAATAAATTCAATTTGAAAAAAGCAAGAAATATAACTTTATTTAAAATTTATATAACATCTGCATACTACAAATTTATT